GGGAGAATAGAAGGGCTGTGTATGCACAGGGAGACAGCTTGGGGTGCAGGAGTGCATGAGAGGGAAAGACACAGGGAAGAGGTAACTGTGGGGAGGAAGTGAGAGGGGAGCTGTTGCATTGTGGGAAATTATAGTCAATTTCATGAGACAAAGTGTATGTGAACTGCTGTATGGAAGATGAATTTGCTCTGTAAATTTTCACCCAAATCACAATAAAATTAAAAGAACAAACAATGTTATTAGGGAAAATCTTTGTAGATACTAAGAAGTAGAATTATCAAATTCAATGATTAATCCTGTAGATATTGCACTGAATATGGAATTTATTTGGTGAAGAATTGTTGGCTCTATGATATTAAGTCTTCATATCCAGGAACATGATGTTTATTTCCTTGCTCAAAATGTATTTAAAGTTACTGATTTTCTGTTGTATTGAATTTGTTTGATTCTCATGTGTTTATTTCTTTTAGTGACTTCTTGCTGCTAGTTTTGAAGGATATTGTGTTGCAGAGGCCAACTCTTCAAGTTATTCTCATGAGTGCCACCTTAAACGCTGAGCTCTTTTCAGAATATTTCGATTTCTGCCCAGTTATTACCATACCAGGTAAGTAAAATGCATCACTAAGTATTTATTGTTCTTATGTTGTTGTTGTTGTTATGTGCTGTCGAGTCGGCCCCGACTCATAGCGACCCCTCCTTGGGTTTCTGAGGCAGTATCACTACAGAAGTAGATTGCCCAACCTTCCTTCCGAGGAGTGGCTGGTGGGTATTGTTCTTATAAGCAAATAAAATTATTTTAAAGTTCACTTGTGATATAAATCAATAGGTATACCTCTTTCTACAAGTAAATTAATAGTTTATAACAAAGGCATAGCCATCCAGTGAAATTGATAAGGAGGTAGTAACATTATATCCATTTGCCAGGAGAATTCAATTTTGAATGTGATTTATTTTTCTTAAGTCTTGGTTATTTCTACCCTTCCATTATATTGTATTTAACACTAAAAATGTGAGATTATAATAGTAATCTGTAATAAAGAAGCAAGTGGTGTCTATATACTGTTTTTGTTCATTGGTGGATTCTGCTAAATTTCAGGAGTTTAGTTCACTCTGGGAGAACATGAAGCTAGATAATGTGTTTTCTTTTGGTGCTCTCAGTCTCACTTGTGATTAATTTATCTCCTTGGGCTTTGGTTTACTTTTCTGTGATCGATTACCAAAGGGACAATTTGAAAGTACTAATTGACAAATCATAGTACTGTTTGTTCTAGTTATAGAGGATGTTGACCATAGAGTCAAAAAAGATACTATATGCTTTATCTGGAATATAACCGAATATTTAATGGTCCCCTGTGGGGAGTGGGTAGAGTCGGAAAAGGGATAACAGATAAAATTTAAAAAAAAAAAAAAATCCTTATTAGCAAATTATCATTTTCTTCCCCTATACACTTTGTTTTCTTTACTAACCAATTTCTGTAATCAAAAACATTTTTGATAGTTTTAAGATCATAAAACAAGAAACACCTTATTGTGTCAAGCTTTGTTTCAAGAGAATTTTATATATACAAACTATCTCAAGGTAGTTTAACAATTTTCTGAAGCGTTTTCCATTTTCTTTTTTTTTTTTATTTTTTAGGTCGTGCATTCCCTGTTGATCAGTTTTTTCTGGAAGATGCAATTGCTGTGACAAGGTAAGGAAAATATTGAAGTTCCTTGAAAACATAACTATTATTTTACCCTTAATGTACCAGGAAAATATTAAATATGTTAGTCTTCTAATTTTTCTATTTGAGCATTTGTTTTCCTCTTTGTTTTGGCAAATATGTATTATATGAATTATGTGCAAATCACAAGCAATTTTATATATTGATTAAGAGCATCAACTCCAGAGACAGCCTGCTAAGATTTAATCTCTCCATTTACTAACTTCAGACTATTGCTTAAACTTCTACACTTAGTTTCCTCATATATAAAACGGGTATAATCGTTCTACCTTTCTGGAGTTTGCAGGATAGTATGAAAGTTACAATGCTTTTTTTCTTCTTCCTTCCTGCTTCTATCCCTAATAAGCCTCCGTGTTAATTCCATAGTTACTTGATGACACAATATTCTCAAGCTAAAACCCCAAGAATGGTGGCTGTCAATTTTAGTGTGTAATAAGAATACCTGAGGAGCTTATTAAAAGCGTTCATTTCTGAACTTTAGTCCCTTCTCACTGAATATGACTCTTTGGGGATATAGATCATCTTTCCATTAGTTTACCTATCTTTATTTTTTTCCCATTTTTTCAAACTCATTGCCTCCAGAATTCTCTTAAAACTTAGAATTGATCATGTCCTTCCTCTTAAAAATTTCAGTAGCTCCCCATTTCCCACACTCTGTGGACATTCAGAACTCACATTATCTGACCTCAGCTTACATTTGACCTCCTTTCTTATTTAATTCTCCCACTTACATAAAGCTTAGCACCATCAGATTACTGGCTTTTTCTCAAATGTGCCATACCATTATTGACTGTATATCTTTATTCCTTTTCCTCTCTTCCTTATCTACTCATTCTTCAACATTCAGCTCCAATGCTCCATGAAAATTTCCCCTTTTTCTTCTAATAGAAATTAATCACTTCTTTATCAGAAGTCTTAGGGCACTTTTTTTGTTCTTCTAATGACATTTATTTCCATCTGTCTGGCAGTGTGGTGAGTCCTATTGGTCTGTCTACCCCCATCAGTTTGTAAGTTTCTTAAAAGCCTATTCATTTTTATACACCAGATCACAACCATCCCCACAGTCTCTTGCACAAACTAGGCGTTAAATGAACAAATTAATGTTGGATGTGAAAGGAGGATGGGGCATTTGATGGAGAGGAAGGTTGGAGGGAGTCAAAGATTATAGAATCATAGGTGAATGGCCTTTTTTTCCTTAAGCTTCTGTATACTTTTTTCAATAGGACCCTACCAAAATCATAAAGAAATAAGAGCTAAAATGGGAGTGATCAGCTGAAGATGGTGGAAGGAAGGACAGAGCCCCCACATAATTACAGTGCTCCTATTCTTTACCTTTCACCAAGTGTTCTCGTTACCTAGTGCCACTCTGACAAGAATATACCACAAATGGGATGGCCTTAACAAATAGGAGTTTATTCTTACAATTTAGAAGCTTTAAGTCCAAGTTCAAAGTGCCAGGCTCTAGAGGCTGGGTGAAAGCCCCTCAGCCTTCGGCTCAGCTCTGCCTCCTGCTCCTGGCCCACTGAAGCTAGAGGCTTTTCTTCACTCAGACAGCTGCTGGCGGCTGAGGCTGCCAAGCCCAAGGTTGACAAGTAAAAAGGCACAGTCCCGATGTTACCAAACCACACGGCAGGCCATTAATTCAAGTCCATTGTAAGTCCCCAGGTCGGCAGTGCATGGCAGTCTGCTGAACAACACAGCTACATGCAGGGTCCAAGCGTGCCATAAGCTAGAGACCATTCCCCAAGGCTTCTGTTTTTATACAGGAAGCAGACCAGATACCTAAGGCAAGCTCCTCAGCTGCTCACAGTAGATTCCATCATGAAGTTGATTACCAGTCTCATCATGAGGAATACTGCATCCAGCTGCCCAGCCACTCAACCAGGCCCAGCCAAAGTGACACCCAAACTGAACTACCACACCGAGATACTGAGAAACCTCTGAGACTCGAGGAAAAATAGTTTCAAACCACTTACCTAAGGTCAAATCCTTCAAAAATAAGAAAACAAAACACTTTGAAGTAGACTTGCTAAAAGTTTCATGGCAGGATGGTTTCATGGCAGACCTAGGACTCAAATCTAGAGTCTAGTCATTTCTCCATTTTATCATGCCTGATGGTATTATCACTAACAAATACTAAATCAATCAGAATTGAGTTTTTAAATGTTTTAAGGACAGGCTTATGGAGATGTTCAGCCAACAGTTGAAAATGTGGATCTAGAATGAGTGCAGCAAAGGAGTGTCAGATGTCTGAGAATGCTAGTTGAACCTGTGGGAGTGGATAAGATTGCCAAAGAAGAAAATAAAGTGGGGAGGGGTATGGACTGAGGATGTAACTAAAAGGATTACTTACATTTACAAACTGATGGAGGGAGAGGAGAAGTGAAAGAGTAAGTAGTCAGAGAAATAGAAGAATCCCACGATATTGCACTACCATGGACACTGTGGTAAGACAAATTTTCAAGAAGGTGGTTAGCAGTGTCCCATGTTGCAGAGAGGTTATGAGTGCACTACATTTAGAGGAGCTTGACCCTTGAAACAGAATGCAAAGAAGCATTTTTTTTCCAACTAACCACTGGCAACAGCAGCATTTAACAACTTTATCAGCTGTAAATTTATCAATGGTAAAATCCTCCAGCAAGAGTTCAAGCAATAGTCCAATGAGAGCTGTCTTTGCTGAAGTTGAGAGATACTTATCAATCAATATGAGAGTGAGTTTCATGTAGGTAGTATAAAAGTAGGAACTCTGGTGACATAGTGCCTAAGACATTTGACTGCTAACCAGAAGGTTGGCAGTTCAAACCCACTGGCCACTCCACAGAAGGAAGACTGGGCAATCTACTTCCATAAAGATTTACCACCTCGGAAACCCAAAGGGGATTACTATGAGTCAGAATCGACTCTGCAATAAGTTTGATTTTTGGTTTAGTGTAAACGCGATCATTGTCCATTGTCGTGAATTTCTAATAGCTCTAATATTTGCTAGATTGACCTAGTAAAAAGGAATAAAAATCACATTGAGTCATGGCCTATAATGTATAATAAAACTGTGATTTTGGCCCATTAGATTAACATTTTTAAGTGTGTATGTTTCCCCATCTTAATTGTCCTCTGGGTTCCCTTTTCCTTGTGCCCATCCCCCCACCCCAATCCCATTCATCCCCCTTCCACCACTCTGCAGTTTCAAATAAATGTGCTTTGTGAATGTCTTATCCTTATAAACTGGACAGAGCCAAAAGCATCCCAGTATGTTCCCCACTAGAAACGGGGTACAGCCAGCAGAGTTCTGTACTCATGCAGGCATAGCACGTGAGTTGAACAGAAACAGTGGCATTCTGCTGAATGAGCACATGAAATAGGTGCATACTTTTGTTCCACACCAACAAACATGCACACACACACACAGTTCTTTGTCTTCATTCCCCAGGTATGTGTTACAGGATGGGAGTCCATATCTGCGCTCCATGAAACAGATTTCAAAGGAGAAGCTTAAAGCAAGGCGCAACAGAACTGCGTTGGAAGAAGTGGAGGAAGATCTGAGGCTCTCTCTTCACCTCCAGGATCAGGATTCTGTCAAGGACCAAGTGCCAGATCAACAGTTAGATTTTAAACAGCTCCTAGCCCGCTATAAAGGTAATGTGCTTCCTAGGGAAAAATTATAATTGTGACAAAGATTTCTAGTATTTTTCCCCACTGTGATCCAGAAGAAGAAAAATATGGCTCTTGTTTCATTGTTATATTAACTTTAATTCATCAGACCAACCTTAAACTTAAAAAAATAACAATCCCAACACATAGTTATATTATCATTGTTATCTTTACCAGTGGCTTTTTTTCTGATTATAAGAGGAATATGTGTTCATTATAGAAAAACTGGGTGATAGTAAAATATAAATGATATTCTTGAGTATATTGTAACTTTTTATATTGATGTTATTTCAAATTTACAGAAGAGTTTGTAAGACTATACAGTGAACTGTCATGTGCCCATTACCCCAGCACGCTAATTGCTAGCATTTTGCTTCATTTATTTTATAGTTTGCTCTGTGTGCATATATATTTATTTTCCTGGATCTTTTGAGAGTAAGTTGAACATTTGTTGTTGTTGTTATGTGCCGTCAAGTCAGACCCGACTCATAGCGACGATGGGGCTATCTACTTCCGTAGTGATACTGCCTCGGAAACCCAAGGAGGGGTCGCTATGAGTCAGGTCAGACTTGATGGCATATAACAACAACAACAACAAGTTGAACATAGTTACTTTATGTCCCTGAATACTTCAGTATGTATTTCCTAAGAACGGTGATCAGAATCAGCCCATTTAACACTGATAGAATGCCGTTATTTAATCCACACTCCATATTAAGATTTTGCCAGGCATCTCAATAATTCGGCATCTCTGTGTGGTCAGACGGTTAAGAATTCAATTACTAACTGAAAGGTTGGAGGTTTGAACCCACCCAAAGGCACCTTGGAAGACAGACCTGGTGATCTGCCTCCAGAAGGCCACAGCCTTGAAAATCCTGTGGAGCAGTTCTGCTCTACACACATGAGGTTGCTGTGAGCTGGAGTCAGCTTGACTGGCAACAACTGCATTGCTTTTTTCCCCAGTCCAGGCTCATGCATTGCATTCATTTTTTAATTATGATTTTTCCATTCTTTATTCTTTAATCTAGGACAGTTCTTTTTTTTTTTTTTTTTTTTGCCTTTCTTGAGCTTGACATTTTTTAAGAGTTCAGATCAGTTATTTTGTAGTATGTCCCTCTGTTTGGGTTTGTCTGATGTTTCCCCAGGATTAAATTTAGGTTATGCTTTTTTTAAAGCACCACAGGAACAAAGTTGAGTTCTCAGTACATCGTATCAAGAGGCACGTGATACTGGTTTGTCCCATTACTAGTGATATTAACTTAGATCACTTGGTTAAGGTGATGTCTCCCATGTGTCTCTACTATGTGGTTGCTGTTTATTTCTATTGTAGTTAATAAGTCATTTATAGGGAGATATCTGAGACTATGTAGATATTCTCAAAATTTCATACACCACAGACATATACATAACACACACATGGGCTCATTCTGATCACTGTTCTTAGGAAATACATACTGAAGTATTCAGGGATGTAAAGTAACTATGTTCAACTTATGCTCAAAAGATCCAGGAAAATAAATATACATGCACACAGAGCAAACTATAAAATAAATGAAGCAAAATTCTAGCAATTTGTGTGCTGGGCTAATAGCTTTATTCTTGAGCTATTAAAATAGTATCTTTTGACCACATGCCCTATGCTAGGCATTTTTATTTAAGTTACTGGGGTACTCCCTCCTCCCATACCACACCCTATCCACCTATTCTTCATTCCTTTGTGACCTTCTAGTCTTATAAGCTACACTGAAACTATGGAAACCTCAAGGCTACTACTTTTGCCTTTTGCCTCAAAACTTAGACTAGAGACAGGTCTCAGCTTCCTTTCTAGATCATTTCCCTGGGCCTCCCTTATCCCATCTCCTCTTGTTGTTGTTGTTGTTATGTGCCGTCAAGTCAGCCCTGACTCATAGTGACCCCTTCTTGGGTTGCTGAGGCAGTATCACTACGGAAGTAGATTGCCCATTCTTCCTCCGAGGAGTGGCTGGTGGGTTTGAACCACCAGCCTTCTGGTTAGCAGTCAAGTGCCTTAGGCACTATGCTACCAGAGCTCCTCATCTCCTCTTAGCCTTTCCAAAAATAAGATAATTACCTTTCAAGTAAGAGCCTCCACACCCAATTACTATCCCTGTAAAAGAACAGATAAGTGAGTTTTCCTTTTCCTTCTGCCACCAAAGATTCTGTTCCCAGTCCTTGATGGCAAATGGTAGTCATCAAGGAATAGTACGGCATTAGCCATTGCTCAGGAGCTCTGGTGGTGCCGTGCCTGAGGCCTTTGACTGCTAACTGGAAGGTTGGTGGTTCAAACCCATTAGCTGCTCCAAGGAAGGACGATGGGGCAATCTACTATTGTAAAGATTTACTGCCTCAGAAACCCAATGAAGCCTTTCTAGATCATTTCCCTGGTTCTGCTACTTAAGAAGATATTCATAGCTTAGCTTACAAACATTATTTCATTTAATCTTCCCAACTTTATTAGAAATAAATAGCATAGATTTATGGAATATTCTTTCAGACCCAGTTTTAAGTGCCAAGACTTTATAAAACCAGCTTTATGATCTTGGGTAAGTTCCTTATCCTCTCTGCTTCAGATTCTTGATCTGTAAAGTGGGATTATTTTGGGAGTTAAATGAGGTAATACAAATCCACAGTATAATGTCCCGCCAGTAAGCAAAGATTTGGAATTCTAATTAAAATGTGTCTGAGAGCGAGGTTCATGTTCTTTTAGTACATCATACCAGCTGATAATTTCCTTATTCTATGAAATTATGAAATAGGAAGATCTCCTAGGTTTCTATTTTGAAATTTCATTTCTTTTTGAGAATTGTGACTGGATCTAAGCTTTGCCTTTCTAATTTCAAGCAGAGGTTACCAAGGTTCAGAAAGCACTGCTGGGGCTCCCTTTCTAAGGAGGATAGAGGATCTGAGGTCAGGAAAGCTGACTCTGCCATTTGCTTCTGCATGGTGCTAGGCTGATTGCTTAGCTTCCTGGGGCCTGTTTCCCTGTTTGTTTGTTTGTTTAAAAAAAAAAAAAATTTTGAGCTAGATGATTTCAGTGCTCTTTTTTTTACCTTTCAGAAAAGTTGATAATGTTCCCTAGCTCAATTTTTTTTAAATATTTGTATAATATTTCTTTTTAAATAATAATCCTTTTAAGCAAATAATTCATTTATCTTTTTGGAAAAGTCTGGCTGTTTGGAATCAAAAAAAGTGATTCCTGCTTTGCCTTGTTCCCTCAACTGCACTCTTGCATGTGCGGCATCTTTCTTTCTTTCTTTCATTTTTGATCAACATAGGATTCACTCTACCAGAAGAACATTGTTTAGAAGTTATTTTTGCCCTTGTTCAAACTTCTCAGCGTGGTGTGGGAAGCTTTCCTTCTTTGATAACAACTAAAGGTATTTTGTTCTAGTTAGATGCTAGTTAGGGTGATGGGACATTAGAAGGACAAAAAGAAGAAAAGGCAGCAGTCTTTGGAGATTTAGTCACCCCAAGAATATACTCCTTGTTTTTAAAGGATCAGAGGTTTATAATACAACACAGAGAACTGTTTCTTTTATTAGGTCTCAGATAGATTGAAAGGAAATTATAGACCCTTCACCTAAGGGTCCATGGATGGACTTCAGGGAGTTAGTGAACCCATTGAAATCACATGTTAAGATTCATAACTTTTACCGTTGTGTTGAAGGAACCTAAAGTTAAGAGTCACTGTTGTAAAGGTGCTGGTGAAAGCTGTGGTCTCTGTCCATTGATTTCCATGGATTACTGTTACCTGGACGTCCATCTGATCTAATTCATTTGATTCATTCTGGAAGAGGTTTCTGAAATGTATTTGACTGTGACTTTTGTTTTCAGAACATAGACTATGAATAAATGTGGTGGGTGAAAAGGGGAAGGAGGGAAGAGAGTTGAATGTGACATATCTGGGCCTTTCTAATGGGCAGGAACCTGCTCTCTGGTCACTATTCAAACAAAACCTGCTTCTGGAGAGCATATATTTTCTGAAAGACTGAAAGAAAAAGTTCATTTCAGTACACTGAATGTCTGTTATTCAGTCAAATCAAGACACTCACTTTGTTCATAGGCACAGTCTTCAATAAGATATGATAATCCTTCTGATTTTGACCTTTCTTTCAGGGTTTAGCAAATCAGTTATCAAAACAATGTCCATCATGGATTTTGAAAAGGTTAATCTTGAATTAATAGAAGCCTTATTAGAGTGGATTGTGGATGGAAAGCACTCCTACCCTCCAGGTAACTGCTTCTTGTCTTCCTTTGCATAAAAGATGGCAAAAGAGAAGGGAGCTTACATCTTAAATTAATGGGCACTGCAAGGGCAGCTTGCCTTCCTGGTACCCCAGCTATGTGTTAAAAGTTGCTTTGGTAGTTAAGTCGTATGGCAACGTGGCTAGGCCTGGTTGAGTGGCTGGGCAGCTGAATGTAGTTATTTCCCATGGTGAGATTGGTAACCAACTCCATGGTGAAATCTACTGTGAGCAGCTGAGTAGCTGCCTTTGGTTATGTGGTCTGCTTCCTGTATATAAGCAGCAGCTTTGGGTATGGTCTCTAGCTTATGGCATGCTTGAACTCTGCATGTAGCCATGTCGTTGTTCAGCAGCCTGCCATGCTCTGCCAACCTTAGGACTTATAATGGACTCGAATTAATGGTCCGCTGTGTAGTTTGGTAGCATCAGAACTGTGCCATTTTATTTGTCGACCTTGGGCTTGTTAGCCTCAGCAGCCAGTAGCTGCCAGAGTGAAGAGATGCCTCTAGCTTCAGTGAGCTGGAAGCAAGAGGCAGAGCTGAAGCCCAAGGTCGCGGGGGTTTCACCCAGCCCCTAGAGCCTGGCACTTTGAACTCGGACTTAAAGCCTCCAAATTGTAAGAGAATAAACTTCTGTTTGTTCAAGCCTTCCCATTTGTGGCTATATTCCTGTCAGAGCGGTACTAGGTAACCAGAACAGTTGCCTACTAGCTTTTCAGGGAGAAATTTTGCCTTTTGAGTTTCCTTTTTTTTTTTCACTTCTGCCAAGCAAAAAGCATATGTTAACAATACAAAGCCCAAACAGAAGAAAGCTGAAGAGAAGGCCTGGTGGTCTACATGCTAAACACTCAGTCCCTGGTTAAATGAGTGTTGGGTGATGAGTATTTGGATTACATGTGAACCTCCCACCGAGGTCATGAGCCAGTGGGGTTAAGAGCACAGACTTTGGAGTCAGGTAAACCTCTCAGTTCTGCTACTTATCTCTTCTATGCCTCAGTTTCCTTATTTGTACAAAGAAGATAATATATCTAATAAGAAGATAATGTATCTCAAAATAGCATAAAGCTATTTTGAGGGTTAAAAGAAACCATATGTAACATGCTTAGCACTATGTCTGGCATATAGTTGCAAACCAAAAGGCAGACCTGTTGCCATTGAATCAATTGCAACTCATAGCGACCCTAGGACAGAGTAGAACTGCCCCATAGGGTTTCCAAGGTTATAATCTTTATGAATGCAGACTACCACATCTGTCTTCCATGGCACAGCTAGTAGGTTCAAACCACTGATCTTTCAGTTAGCAACCAAGCACTTAACCACTGCACCACCAGGACTCCTTGGCATATGGTTAATGCCCAGTGAATCTGTCCCTAATAATGATAATATAATTACACCCAATGCACTTACCATCGTTGTCAATATTGTTATCACTGTTAGCACTGCTACTGTACCACACAGCGGCACTACTTTCTCCCTTCCTCAATGCCTTCCTATCTCAGAGGTCTTCCTACCTTTCTTGCAGTCCCTTCTCCCCAGTGATTCCCTAGATCGTTTAATGAGTGAATCCTTTACTTAAGTTTCTGCTTAAAAGCCACCTCTTCAGAGAGGTTTTCTCTGACCTATCTACTATTTGTTGCCCCTTGTTGTTGTTAGTACAGTTCCAACTCAATATGACCTTGTGTACAACAGAACAGAACACTGCCCAGTCCTGCATCATCCTCACAATCACTGCTATGTTTGATCACATTGTTATACCCACTGTGTCAATCCATCTTGTTAAGGATCTTCCTCTCTTTCTCTGACCCTGTACTCTATCAAGCATGATGCCCTTCACCAGGGACATGTCCAAAGTATGTGAAACAAAGTCTTGCTCTCCTTGCTTCTTGGAGCATTCTGACTGTATTTCTTCCAAGGCAGATTTACTCACTCTTGTGGCAGTCCCCTCTTCCTCTGTTCTAATACCCACAAATGGTTTTTATTTTCTTCCTAGCATTTATTGCTATCTGAAATTATTGTTTTGCTTAATTACTGTCTTCTACAGTAGAATATAAGCTCCCTGAGAATAGGGATTTTTTGTTCACCTCTATAGTCTGCAGATCCTAGAACAGTGCTTGGCACAGATTAAACATTTGTTGCACGAATAAACAAAGAGTAGCTGCACTGAAGGCAGTGGCAAAAAATCCATTTGACACTGGGAGGAGGTAACTATGGGGAGGAAGTGGGAGGGGAGCTGCTGCATTGTAAATTTTGGTCAATGACATGAGACAAAGTATATGTGAACTGCTGTATGAAAAGTGAATTTACTCTGTAAATCTTCACCCAAATCCTAAAAAAAAAAAAAATTCCTAAAAAAAAATCCATTTGAGATGTTTCAAGAAACAGATATAGCACTGGAGGTACTCATTCATTTATGTCAAGAAATTTGGAAGACAGCTACTTGGCAAATTTACTGGAAGAGATCCATATTTGTGTCCATTTCAAAGAAAGGTAACCCGACAGAATGCAGAAATTATTAAACCATATCATTAATATCACATATGAGTAAAAGTTTGCTGAAGGTAAGTAAAAAATGGTTGCAGCAGTACATTGATAGAGAACTGCCAGAAATTCATGCTGGATTCAGAAAAGGGCATGGAATGAGAGTTGTCATTGATGCTAGATGGATCTTAGCTGAAAGCAAATACCAGAAAGATGTTTATCTGTGTGTTATTGACATTACAAAAATATGTGACTGTATGGATCATAATTTTAGATAACAATTAAGAAAATGGGAATTCCAGAAAGCTTAATTGTGCTCATGAGGAACCTGTACATAGACCAAGAGGCATTTGTTCAAACAGAAAAAAGGGATACTATGTGGTTTAAAATCAGGAATGGTATGCATCAGGGTTGTATCCTTTCACTATCCTTACTCAATCTGCATTCTAAACTAATAATCCATTATAATAATAATAATAAAATAAGCTGGATTACATGAAGAGGAATGAGGCATCAGGATTGGAGGAAGATTCATTAACAACCTGAAATATGAAGATTATACAACCTTGCTTGCTGTAAGTGAAGAAAGCTTGAAGCACTTACTGATGAAGATCAAAGAGTATAGCCTTCAGTGTGGATTACACTTCAACATAAAGAAAACAAAAATTTTCACAACTGGATTAATAAGCAACATCATGATAAATGGAGAAAAGATTGAAATTGTCAAGGATTTCATTTTACTTGGATCCATACCCATGGAAGCAGCAGTCAAGAAGTCACATGATGTATTACATTGAGCAAATCTGCTACAAAAGACCTAAAGTATTTAAGGGCAAAGATGTTACATTGAAGACCCAGGTGAGCCTGAGCCAATCCATGTGTGGTAGTTAAATTTGTATGGCAACTTGGCTGGGTCTGGTTGAACGGCTGGGCAGCTGAATGTAGTTATTCCCCCTGGTGAGATTGGTAATTAACTCCATGGTGGAATCTATTGGAGCAGCTGACTAGGTGCTTTGGGTATGTGGTCTGCTTCCTGTATATAAGAAGCAGCTTTGGGAATGGTCTGTAGCTTATGGCACGCTTGGACCCTGCATGTAGCCATGTTATTGTTCAGCGGCTTGCCATGCTCTGCTGACCTTGGGACTTACAATGTTCTTAAATTAATGGCCTGCCATGTGGTTTGGTAACATCAGGACTGTGCCTTTCTATTTGTCAACCTTGGGTTTGTCAGCCTCAGCAGCCAGCAGCTGTCTGAGTTAAGAAATCCCTCTAGCCCCATGGGCCAGGAGCAGGAGCCAGAGCTGGACCCCAAGATTGAGGGCCTTTCACACAGCCCCTAGAGCCTGGCACTTTGAACTTGGGCTTAAAGTCTCCAAACTGTAAGAGAATAAACTGTTTGTTCAAACCATCCCATTTGTGATATATTCCTGTCAGAGTGGCACTAGGTAACCAGAACACCATGGTACTTTCAGGAGCCTCATATGTGTGTGAAAGCTGGATAATGAATAAGGGACACTAAAGAAGAGTTGATGCCTTCAAATTGTGGTATTGGCAAAGAATACTGAAAATACCGTGGACTGCCAGAAGAATGAACAAATCTGGCTTGAAAGAGATGCAGCTGAAATGCTCCTTAGAAGTGATAATGGCCAGACTTCATGTCTCAGACTTTGGTCATATTGTCAGAAGGGACCAATCCCTAAAGAAGGATATCATGCTTGCTAAAATAGAGGGTCAATGACAAAGGGAAAGACCCTCAATGAGATGGGTTGACACAGCAGTTGCAATGATGGGCTCAAGCATAGCAACAACTGTGAAGAGGTACAGGACCAGGCCGTGTTTTGTTTTGTTGTACATAAAGCCACTCTGAGTCAGAAGTGACTCGATGGCACCTAACAACAGCAGCAGCCGCCAGTGTTGGGCATTCATTAAATGGAGTAAGAGACTTTAAAAAAAAAAAAAAATCATATTGTGTGCTCATTATACAGTGCTTAAGAGAAATGGGAATGGCTTCCCTCTTCTGCTTAGATTTTCATCATCATGTGGTATTTTCTCAAGAGACATATGAGCCACATGAAACTATTGAAGGGCCTTGTTTTTCTTTTTTTGGCAAGTAGCCAGAGTTGGCTAATGCATTATCACAAAACTGAATATTTTACTTTGTCACAAAGGAAAAGGATATGGGGGGGGGGGTATGTGGAAATTCAAGCAGAACAACCAAATGTAATGTCATAAAATTACCTGGATTCAAAGCAGCATAGATACAATAAATACATAGGTGGAATGTAATTTGTGGATGTTAAAGATTTTCCTGACACAGATGGCCAAGCCATGAGGGCAGACAGAGGTTTTTCCACACATATATAGTAGGTCCCCGGGTTACAAGCATCCAACTCATGGACAGCTTGCACTTGCCTTTTAATGTTATGTAAATTTGCCCTGAATTTGAAATGACTGAACCAAACCCTACCAGCAACAAATTCTTCATCACAATCACCTTCACTTGCTGCACATGCAGCATTTAAATCACTGAAAAGGCTTCAAGCCTTTTCTTGCACTAAACTCACTGCCGTCAAATCGTATCCAACTCATAGTGATCCCTCCTTGGGTTTCCGAGGTAGCATCACTACGGAAGTAGATTTCCCAATCTTCCTTCCGAGGAGTGGCTGGTGGGTTTGAACTGCCAGCCTTCTGGTTAGCAGTCAGATGCCTTAGGCACTACACACTAAAGTAAGTCTAAATATGACCATAAGCACCTGGTCTGACTTACCTGCAAATTCAACTTAAAGACACACTTAGGAATGGATCTCGTGTTTAATCCCAGGGACTGCCTGTAGATTATTTGAACACTCTTAGATCTTATGGCATTTTAGAGCAGCATGGGGTATGTAATAGTAAAAGTACGGATCTGGTGCCAGAAACCTCAGGTTTGAGGCCAGCCACCACTCCTCTTAGCCCTATGACCTGGCCAAGGTACTGAATCACATCTGACTGCCATTGTCTCACTGTAAAGTAAGGGTACTGATAACCCTCTTAATGACTTCCTATGAAGCTCCAATTAGATAATGTAGGTGAAAACTTTTTGTACTTTTATAAAGTGCTAACAATAGTCCTGAAAAAATATATTTGGCCTTCTTACTTCAGAGTTCCATTTTGTTTATTTAGATAATTAACAAATAATTTAGATTCCTTATTTATTTAGTGGGGCAAAATAACTGTGATAAGTAATAGGTCATAAGTTCATGTTTCATATCTCATTGCCCCCAGCACAAATCTGGCATAGGCATCCAATAAATTCTGTGAAACCATTAAACAGTAATTAGTGTGCTACCTCTTCAACATATATTTGTATTTAGATGACCACATTGGCCAGCCTTTTATACTTTCTTTTTCAAATTTCCATTAAAATGTTTTTTGGATTTTATTCATTAATAGCAAAGAGTCTTCCTACCTTATAAAGTTAAAAGGATAACTCTCTTTATATATATAAATGCAATGGCCAGTGTACTGAAGAAGTATGTTTAAAGAACTTTAAAGAGCTGTACTAATAACTTGTTGTTTAACTTAAGACATCATTACATTTTTCTACACCTGAGTTATTCCTGTTGTATAAGGATAATAATACTTCATTCACTTTGTAATTATTAAGTCAGAAAATGTACAAAAACATAATTTCTTATTTATTTAAATCTGTGGGAACTGTACAAAGAAGAGAAAATTGACAGAAAATTCTTGGACTAATACATTTTTTTAGTTTAAAATCTTTCTCATCTATATGAGCTTTTCCTTTTTTGCCTTTTCCAATTTGACTCTTTTTATGTACCCAGGTGCTATACTTGTGTTTTTACCGGGACTGGCAGAAATTAAAATGCTTTATGAACAGCTGCAGTCTAATTCTCTTTTCAACAACAGGCATAGTAATCGGTAAGTTGTAGTTACACGAAGGTGAATACCCAGAAAGGTCTCATTTACAGGCATCTCTAGACTCAGGTGTCACTCAAGAATATGTTTGTTTATACCAGCTGGAAATAGAGAACATATTTGTCCCAGGACCTTAGTTATTTCCATTCTATTAAAAAATAGACATATATTTCTCTTTGCTAGGCATGCTAACTCAGCAAACTCACGTGTAATTTCAGTTTCCAGATCCTTACAAGGATGTGGAAGAGAGCCAGTGTTAGTAACAAAGAAGTGTTAATAACACTTTTAAGAAATAGGATTTTCAGTGCTCCTTATTCCAGTAGCAAGATGTACTGGGTATATCTTCATATTTAAGAGGAAAAGTATTTTACAGGTGAATAGTCCCTAAAAATATAAGAATTAAGTTTCTTAGCTTACATTACTGTATTTGCCTCTCTTTCTCTGGATTTAAAGACAGTGAAAAAATGTTTCTTTGCTGGTTAGTTTGCCCTACCCTTATTATTTATAGAATATCAACTATTTATTCCTTTTGATTATTTATTATAGAACTGCACTGCAGTGTTTCTCCCAGGTTAATGCAAGATTTTTAGTTCATAAAAAACTCGTTGGCATTGAGTCATCTCCAACTCATGGCAGCCCTGGGTGTGTCAGATAGAATTGTGCTTCAGCAGGCTCTCAATGGCTGTGATCTTACAGAAGTATCCTGCCAGCTTTCATTTATAGAACTGAGTAAATATTTTGTAAGGATCAGAAAGAGCCTGTCCATTTAGAAGAGCTAGGCCTTGATGTCAGTTGGCAGAGAAGGTGCTGATACTCAGAGTCTTATAGTTTGTTTTAATATAAAATCACCCTTAGTGATCCAATTTCAGTGCTTCGTACTAGAACACTTACTGTGTTTTTATTTCTTTTCAGATGTGTTATTCATCCACTTCATTCATCTTTATCCAGTGAGGAGCAGCAGGCTGTGTTTGTAAAACCTCCTGTAGGTGTAACTAAGATTATAATTTCCACCAACATTGCTGAGACATCCATAACCATTGATGATATTGTCTATGTCATCGATTCTGGGAAAATGAAAGAAAAGAGGTATTCTCTTTTAGTGATTTAAGAGCTAAAAATGCCACGTTAGGGGTGACATAACTGCTAGTGGCTAATGCTGTTAAGCTACATGGTTACTGTTTTAAGAAATATTTTACCACAACTACCTGTGGATATGTGAGTGATTTATAGCCAGGACCTTGAATCTTATAGGTGGAGGTAGGAAGTTTAAGGTTTTATCTTGGAAATAACTTATTTTTCCTCTCTTTTTCCTCAAATGCTTTTACATTTATTTGAATAAAAAATGGTTGAATAAAGAAATTGTATGTATTGGAACTAGAAACCATTTAACATCAGCACTAGGTACCCCCTTCCCACACTCCAGGGTCTCAAGTATCCCATGACACATACGGCCTGTGTCCTGCTGAAGTCTAGTGATTCTTCTGGTCTGCCCGTGTCAAGTAAAGCCTTGGACACATTTATAAGTATTTATAATATTTATAAAATCAATTATTTTATTTATATTTATAAAATATTTATGAAATAATTTTAAAATATTTAGAAATTATTTGTTTAAAAATATATTTCTAAAATAACTCTTTCTTACATTTTCTATTTCTTTCTAGATATGATGCTAGCAAAGGTATGGAAAGTCTAGAGGATACTTTTGTGTCTCAAGCTAACGCTCTGCAAAGGAAAGGGCGAGCTGGCCGTGTTGCTTCTGGGGTCTGCTTCCATCTGTTCACTAGCCATCATTATAACCACCAGCTGTTAAAGCAGCAGCTACCAGAAATACAAAGAGTGCCATTGGAACAGCTGTGTCTAAGGTACATTTTCATTTTTGTGTTTTATGTACTGCTTCCAAAAGGTCAAAATGTTGCTCACCTTGTTTATCAAAACAAAAAAACCCAAACTCATTGCCATCAAGTCAATCATGGTGACCCCTCCTTGGGTTTCTGAGGCAGTATCTCTATGGAACTAGATTGCCCAATCTTTCCAAGGAGTGGCTGGTGGTTTCGAACCTCTAGCCTTCTGGTTAGCAATCATATGCCTTAGGCACTACACCACCAGAGCTCCTCCTCACCCTATTTAAGTCTCATGTTTTCTTTTTCCTGATAGAAGTTTGGTAAGTATGGACATGGTTGAACTCATTCATTTGCAAAGAAAGAGCTCTTCAGTGTTGCCTTTGCCATTCTTTTCAACTTTTTGCATAAAAAGATGACTTAAATTGCAGAGGATGGCCCTGAAAATAGAACACATTTGTGAATCAGGAAAGTAATCCAACCTATCAGGGAGTTTCTGCTTTGGGCAGCACCAATATTAAACAATCACAGGAGAAACCTAAAACTTCATTATTAATTACAGCAAAGTAATTAAAAAAATTTTGAAAATAGCATTATTTACCTGAACAAACAAGAACAAATACCATAAAATAGGATTTAATGAGCAAATGATCAAATTTCATGTATCAAGGTTGGGGAACCTTTGGTTCAACCTTTTAAAAAAATTTGCTTGGCCTTATGTGAAAATTCTGAAATCATCTATGCCTTTGGACCCAGTCATTACACTTTTTTTTTTTAATAGAGTTATGCACATGAAAAATAACCCAAAGGGGAGAAATAATTACTTGACTGAATATATTCTAGCTCTTCCTTCATCCTGCACACAGATGTGGTTTTTTGTTATTATTTTATTGTGATTGAGTGAACGTTTACAGAGCAAATTCATCTTCCATACAGCAGTTCACATACACTTTGTCTCATGACATTGACTGTAATCTCCCACAGTGCAACAGCCCTTCTCCCACTTCCTCCCCATAGTTACCTCCTACCTGTGTCCTTCCCTCCCCTGCATGCCTGCCCCTCGAGCTGTCTCCCTGTGCATACACAGCCCTTCTATTCTCCCATGATTGATCTCTGCAAGGAGTGTATCTACCTAATGTAAATGTTCAGCTCATATGCCTGTCTTTTGTTTGGCTGGAAGCCACAGGAATAGGTTCAGTTCCAGACCTGAAGGACAGTTAGGGCCATAGTCTCAGGGGTTCCACCAGGCTCTATCAGACCAGAAACCTGGTCCCCCCCCCCTTTTTTTTTAAATGATTTTGAGTTTTGTTCCACAGTGTTTTCCCTCTCTATCTAGCATCTCCTATATAGATCCCCCGAGTGGTTGACAGTGGTAGCCAGGCACCATCTAGTTCTTCTGGTCTCACAGTTGTACAGGCTGAGGATCGCATGGTATACCAGTCCCTTGTACTAATGTTTCATGCATCTTTGATTTTCTTCATTCTTCTTTGCTCTGAAGAAAAGAGACCCATTGTTGCATCTAGATGGCCGCTTGCAAGCTTTTAAGATCTCAGTCACTACTTGCCAAAGTAAGATGTGGAATAGTATTTTTGTGTAGTATGTTATGTCAATTGAGTTTGATCTCCCCTGTGACCATGGTCCTGAGTCCACAGGTCCAACTACCCGGTCCCTCTGGGTAGCTGGCTGTGGCTAAGAAGTAACTACAACCTTGTCCCTTGTCAGCTCTACTATATCCCTAGAAATTCTTACACAACATACAAATACACTTGTAGAAACATTGTCTGCCAACCCTATACATGGTCATGGGCACACTCACCCCTGCATAGACATACCTAATCGTTCAGCCTGTCCACCCATCTATCCACCTGTAGATCAGTGTTTGCCATCACTGACAATGCAGTACTGTAACCACACATCAGTGTGTTTTGAGAACCATTTATTCACTAGGCATTGAGTTAAGCAGTAGGGATACTGTAGGAAATAGGTACAGTCCCTGCTTTCAAGTGTTCAAGTCCTATCTTAAGCAATTGGGAAGGCCAGTGAGCTGAACTAAGGTTAAAAAAAAAACAAACTCACTGCTGTTGAGTTGTTTCCAACTCATAGTGACTCCTTGGGTTTCCAAGGCAGTATCTCTATGCAAGTAGATTGTCCAATCTTCCTTCCAAAGAGTGGCTACTGCCATCCTTCTGGTTAGCAGTCAAATGCCTTAGGCATTACACCTAAGGTAGTAGCACACAAATGAAGAAGAATGAAGGGATTTGAGAGAGTTTTAAAACTTGATTGACCAGTGAGGGAGGATAGAATAATGGGAAAATGTAATATATGTAGCACATATAATTTTAAACCACTCATATATACAACAATAAGAACATAGGCCAATGTGGTTCACCTTTTTAAAAATAAATTTGAAATTTAAGTAAGTGTATGACATCAGTTTTTAAAGTGAAACACCTTGAGTAGGAAAAAGCTAGATACTAAATATATACACATTCATAAAAACATAGAACTGCATGTATATAGGTTGACATCTAAAAATGGAATTAGAAGTAAAATAAATAAAATTTTATACAGTAAAACCTGCAAAAGCTAGAACCTGTGTAAAGCAGAAACCTGTCAGAGAAGGAAAATTCAAGTATTTTCCCCTAAAATGAGTGATGGAAAGGTTTTGTGCCCTGTCAGAAAACTCGCAAGACCTGGAAAATCAAGGCAGTCCTGTGGAGTTCCAACTCTCACAGGTTTCACTGTATTTGTTAGATAGTTTTCTCTTCAGAAATTAGGTTTAAGTTAATAATTTTAAACTAGTTATTCAAGAGCTATCATAAACAGGAAACATTAATTTTGTGAATAACTGGAAATTCAGATGGGAAAGGGTAAGTATCATTTGAATTTTATTTCATTATTTGAACCCACTGCTATAGAGATAACCATTTTGAAAGTTAAGAAAGGATTTTATTCTGAATCTGAGAAAGTTTCAGAATCTGAAAGTTTGCCTATAATTTATTGCTAGGAGAGCTTGATGGCATAAGACATTTTTTGAAAAAATATTGAAACTAGCACTGTCAGTTTATAAAAGCATATATCTGGGAAATTATAAATTATTTTCATTCAAGAAAAATACTCGCTTATTCTTCTATATCATCACCCCAAGAATAAGATTGAAAAATTATTTTTGTTTTTTTTTTCTTTGTCCAGAATTAAAATTTTAGAGATGTTTAATGCTCATACTCTCCAATCCGTGTTCTCTCGTCTCATTGAACCTCCACACACTGATTCTCTCCGTGCCTCCAAAATACGATTACGAGACTTGGGAGCATTAACTCAAGATGAGAAATTGACCCCTCTTGGGTATCACTTGGCCTCTCTTCCCGTGGATGTGAGAATCGGCAAGCTGATGCTGTTTGGGTCCATCTTCCGCTGTTTGGATCCTGCTCTCACCATTGCTGCCAGTTTGGCCTTTAAGTCTCCTTTTGTAAGTAAACAACATTCATCTAAACTGAAGTTCTACAGGTCTCTAAGGGGACCATGAAGGGACTTCAGTGGGTGTATGAGCTCCCTAAAAATATTCTCATATGTTTTATGTTAATTTTTCAGGGTAGAATGTAAGTAACTCATTAAATGTTCAAAGAGTTCCATGTCTCAAATACAGATTAAGAACTAGAGATCTACATTATTAAAATAATCTAAATGTGCTTTTTATTGTATCTGCTTTACTTGCTCATTATAGAAAAATCAGAAAATGTAAATAAGCAAAACGTGTCCCTGCATAGTTTTAAGAAGCAGTCAACTTACTGGATCCATAGAGACGAGAAGAACCCTTGAGACTGTCGCCCTTAGATACCCTCTGAACTTGGAATTGAAGTTATTTCTGCAGGTCACCTTTCAGCCAAATAATGGATTGTCATATGAAATAATATCACTCATGATTAATGTGCTCCCTTAAACAATTAACCGTATGAGACCAGACAATTAATATTTATTCAGAAGCAAAGATGAGAAGGCAAAGAGGGAAAGGAAAACTAGATCCCTGGAAACAGAACAAACAGAATGGAAATAATGAGGAAACTGACACACTGTAAAGACTGTAACAAATGGCACAGAATAATTTGTGTAAAAATTGTTAAATGGGAACCTAATTTGCTGTGTAAGCTTTCACCTAAAACACAATAATTTTTTTTTTTTAATCTTGATTAGAGCCAGCTAAATGTTTGACTTCAAGGCAACAGGAAGGATTAAAAATGAAAATGGAGCAGTGTGGGTAAGAAAGAGACAGGAAAATAAAGGGAGTTAAAACTGCAGGATGGACACAAAGCGAACGATAGAAAATACTTCTGAATCAGTCAGTCATCTGCTCACAAGCTGCAAAGGTTTCCACTAGTTTAGTGAAACTGAAGCAGTACTTATCCCCTTTCCTGAGCTTATTCTCTCCCTGCATGCCACAAAAACATGTCACCACATTTAATAGGATTAGTTTCATTTGTTTTCTTCTCCCCTCCCCCACTTTTATTTTTTACAGTTCTAGTTTCAGCAATATAGGGATCCTTGAATTCATCAACTTCTTACAGTGCCTAGCAAAACCTGGCATGCATGGTTTTTACCATTTAGATTAAAGACTTTATTTGAATCTAGGGGGGAAAAAGCAATCAGTGTATTTTATTCCCCTGGGACCACCTCTGCTTTTATTTTACATAGATAGGGAAATGTTAGGTGCCGTCCAGTCAATTCTAACTCATAGTGACCATGTTACAGAACATAACTGACCCATGGCGTTTTTTAGGCTGTAATTGTGATTGAAGCAGATCACCAGGTGTTTCTCCCATAGAACTACTTGTGGGTTTGAACCACCAACTTTCACTTAGCAGCTGAGCCCTTAACTATTGTACCACCAGGGCTCCTTAGGTAGGAAATGAGTGTCATCATTTTTCTTCTGTTTTACTTCATAGGATTGTAAACTCACAGATCTGTATAAAAGATCTTAGATCTGTGTAAAATATCTTAGTAGAGCTCCCTCATTTAACAATAGAAGAGAAAACTAAGGCCCCGAAGGGGTGAGGTCACTTGCTTGGGCCAAAGCAGTGTCAATGCTGAGAGCAGGACCTCCATTTTCTGTTTCTCAAATCATCTACATAAACCTTTCACTGGCTGTTTTCTTTAATTAGAAAACGGAGAGACTTCATTAGAAATGTTGATGTCATCCTGAGCCAAGACTGATTACCTGTCCTTTGCTAGGTTCTGTCAACATAATATTAACCTCCCAAATGGAATCCACTCCCCACTGGCTTTCTTCAAAGAAACAAATTTTGTTTCCAAGTAGAAAATAAAGTTTTGTTGTTGTTTTCCCTGTGAAGTTATTAAAACAAACAAAAACTAGAGAGAAGCACTATAGTTGGTTCAAATGATTTCAATGGTTGCAGCTAGAGTATTGGTTTGTCTGCAAGGCACTTCTGTAACTCATGTTAGAGTCCTCTGTGCTGTGCTGTTATGTGCCCTCGAGTCGGACTCGACTCATAGCGACCCCTCCTTGGGTTTCCGAGGCAGTATTACTACGGAAGTAGATTGCCCAACCTTCCTTCCGAGGAGTGGCTGGTGGGTTTGAACCTCCAGCCTTCTGGTGAGCAGTCAAGTGCCTTAGGCACTATGCTACCAGAGCTCCCAAGTCCTCAGGGCCTGAGAAAGCAGAGAGACACCGGATAATTAAAGAATCAGCCCATGACGGCAGGGAGGAGGAACAGTGAACAGTAAGCTCTCTGCTGATTTTACAAATTTGTAGGGAAAAAGAGGGCCTGTAAAACCTTATGAAAATAGGAGGAAAGCATTAGTTATGGGTAGAGAAGTAAGGGAGATTCAAGTATAAAAGGTGAACAATATAAAATATAGACACAGTAGTTAAACTTTTAGATCAGCTTTTAGAGTGAGTGGCTCTATGATGACACCATGCCCCTTAGGGCTAAAAAACTCCAGAAGAGCTAGTTATCGGCAGACAGATTTCTGAAGACAGTGTGCCATTTAACATAATGCCTTTAACTAGCCACACACTGAGTAATCTTGTTCCACACAAAATGCTTTCCCAAGACACCTGGCTTCAGCAATAGGAGAATGCCATTTAAAACCTCAGAGAAACTGTGTGCTTCAAATCTGGTTTTCCTCATTTAGGTGTCTCCCTGGGATAAAAAAGAGGAAGCTAACCAGAAAAAGTTGGAATTTGCATTTGCAAACAGTGATTACCTGGCCCTTCTACGAGCATATAAGGTAAGTCCTTACCTAATATGTGAGGTTTATTACCAAAATTGAATCTGAAAACAGAGTAAGTTCAGTTTGATTTTCTCCAAAATTTAGGGATGGCAGCTAAGTTCAAAAGAAGGTATGCGTGCAAGTTATAATTACTGCAGACAAAACTTCTTGTCAGGAAGAGTTCTTCAGGTGAGTCGTTTCTCTGGTAGTTTGTTTTCATTCACTTTCTGTTGTTCTAGCTCACCAGAGGATGTTGCAACTTTATCTCACTTTCTGGAGTATGCTTGGTTTTAGCAACTGTGAAGAATAGACTCAGAGTGTGAGATCAGCCTTCTCTGACAAATCTTCAGTTGACCCCATTTGTCCTCTTAATCTGTGAATTTGTGTTTGCTTACATGAAGGAAGGGAGCTGTGGTGACACAGTAGTTAAATCATTCAGCTGCTAACCAAAAAAATCATCCGTTAGAACCCACCAGCTCCTCCACAAGAGAAGGATGAAACAGTCTGCTTCCGTAAAGATTACAGCCTTGGAAAACCTATGGGGCAGTTTTACTCTGTCCTAAAGGATCACTATCAGTCAGAATTGAGTCCATGATGAGTTTTGTTTTTTGTTTTTGTTTTCACATGAAGGAAAGACAATCTGAAGATTACTATTTAATAGAAGTTAGTTTTTTCTATAATTCTACCAGGCATTCTTAACCTGGATCCATAAACCCTTGAAATAGCATACAAAATTGTATATTATACATGTGCATGTTTTCCTGGGGAAAGGGTTCACAGTTTTCATCAGATCCTCAAAGGGCTCTGTGAACCATCCCCTACCCCTTCAGTGCCCCAAAACCAAAGAACTAAAAACAATGGAACTAGATTTTCTACACCCATTAGAAGCTACTGTATATCCAATAATAAGGACACAAAAAAGACAAAGGTTTATTATCTTCTGTGTCATAAGACTGGGTTTCTGTTGTCTGTTGTAACAGTGTTTTAGGACTCTTTTCATACAGAATGAGAAGCCAAAATAAAGATGGTGTACAGAATTGCAAAGTATCTGTTTTACTCAAAGTTTTGGGGGATGGGGAGGGAGAAGGACTTTTTCATATTAAAACACTGATATGTCAGGATGTGATGCAAAATTAATGTTTTTCTTAGTATTTACCACCACTTGATACATTTACCACTATTTATTTCTGTTTTATAAGCTCCATCAGAGCAGCGACCTCGTCTGCTTTGTTCACCACTGTATTCCCAGTCCCTAGAACAGTGCTTAGTACTTAGTAGTCAGTAAAGATTCAGTGAATAAATGCATGAATGAGTGAAAATGGTTGTTCAAGATGAAGTAAGACCACCCACCACCACTCACCTGGCAGTTTGTCATACTGTGGTGGCTTGGGTGTTGCTGTGATGCTAGAATCTATGCTATTGTTATTTCAAATACCAGCAGGTTAACTCATTGTAGACAGGTTTCAGCAGAGCTTCCAGGCTATGACAGACTAGGAAGAAGAATGTGTTGGTCTACTTCTGAAATAACTGGCCACTGAAAACCTTATAAATAGCCTCAGAACATTGTCTGATCTAGTATTAGAAGATTAGCCTTTTAGGTTAGAAGGTACTCAAAATATGAGTGGGGAAGAGCTGCCTCCTCAAAGTAGAGTCAACATTAATGATACGGTTGTTGTTGTTGTTATGTGCCATTGAGTTGGACTCAGCTTGTAGCAAACCCTCCTTGGGTTTCTGAGGCAGTATCACTACAAAAGTAGATTGCCCAACCTTCCTTCTGAGAAGTGGCTGGTGGGTTTGAACCTGTCAGCCTTTTGGCTAGCAGTCAAATGCCTTAGGCATTATGCCACCAGAGCTCCCAATGACATGGGTAGAGTAAAGCTTTTGGGACCTTCATTTTGCTGATGTGGCATGGCTCAAAATGGGAATAAACAGCTGTAAACATCCATTAATAATCAGAATATGGAATGTACAAAGTATGAATCTAGGAAAATTGGAAATAGTAAAAAATGAAATGGCATCCATAGAGATCAATATCCTGGGCATTAGTGAGCTGAAATAGACTGGCTTTGGCCATTTTAAATCAGACAGTCATATGATCTACTATGCCAGGAATGACAAATAGAAGAGGAATGGTGTCACATTCATCGTCAAAAAGAACATTTCAAGATCGATCTTGAAGAAAAGTGCTGTCAAGGATAGGATAATATCCATATGGCTACAAGGATAACTAGTTAATATGACTATTATTCAAATTTACGTACCAACCACTAACCAAAGATGAAGAAGTTGAAAGTTGCCAAAGATGAAGAAATTGAAAGTTGCCAAAGATGAAGAAATTGAAGAGTTTTATCAACTTCTGCATCTGAAATTGATCGAACATGCAATCAAGATGCATTGGTAATTAATTACTAGTGATTGAAATGTGAAAGATGGAAATAAAATTGGAAAATATGGCCTTGGTGATAGAAATGACTCCAAAGATTGCATGAAAGAATTTTGCAAAACCAACAATGTATTCACTGCAAATACCTTTTTTCAACAACTTAAATAGCACCTGTACACATGGACCCCACCAGAATGGATACACATGACTCAGATTAACAGCATCTATGGAAAGGAGGCAGTGGAGAAGCTCAATATCATCAGTCAGAACAAGGCCAGAGGCTGACTGTGGAACAGACCAGTGATTGCTCATATCAAGTTGAAGCTGATGAAATTTTAAAAAGGCTACAAGAGCCAAAATATGATCTTAATTATATCCCACCTGAATTATAAACCATCTCAAGAGTAGATTTGATTTACTGAACACCAGTGACCAAAGACCAGATGAATTGTGGGATAACATCAAGAAAATATCATACATGATTGTAGGTGCAGCTATTTGTCTGTCCTCATCTGGAGCAAAGAAGAGTAAAGAAAATCAAAGACACATGGAAACAAGTAGTCCAAAGGACTAATGGACCATGAGGATCTCAACCTATACAACCCTGAGCCCAGAAGAACTAGATGATGCCTAGCTACCACTGCCAACCAGTGGTTGGTATCAGGAAGGGATCAAAACTGGATATCCTGGATAGAGTGGGAGAAAAATATGGAACAAATTAAAAAAAAAAAAAAAAAATCACTAAAAAAGACCAGAATTACTAGTTGGTTAGAGTTAAATTCCCAAGACTATGGCCCCTAGTCACCCTTCAGGTCTCAAATTGGGCTCACTCCCATGGCTAACTTTCAGCCAAACAATAGACAGGCCTACAAGCTGAACAGTTACACCAGGGAGATGCTTAGAACAGTCTCCTTAGAACTCTCCTTAGAACAGTCAACCATGGGAGATCAGAAGGGTAGCACTTGCACAGGGAGAAAGCTAGGGAGGCAGAAATGTATAGGTGGGAAGGACACAGGGAAAGGGTGATCACAGGCAGAAGTGGGAAGAGAGCTATTACATTGTGGGGATTGTAATCAGTGTCATGAAACAAAAGCATATGAACTGTTGAATGTAAAATGAATCTGTTTTGTAAAATTTCACCCATATTACAATTAAAAGGGAGCTCTGGTAGCATAGTGCCTAAGGCACTTGACTGCTAACCAGAAGGCTGGTGGTTCAAACCCACCAGCATCTCCTCGGAAGGAAGGTTGGGCAATCTACTTCCATAGTGATACTGCCTCAGAAACCCAAGGAGGGGTTCTATGAGTCAGGTCCGACTCAAGGGCACATAACAACAACAACAAACAATAAAAAAGTTTAAAAAAGAATATATCATACATGAAGAAAGCAAAAGGTCAATTAAAAGACAAGGAAGAAAGAAAAGAACAAAATGGTTGTTAGAAGAGACTGAAACTTGCTCTTGAATGGAGAGTAACTAAAGGGAATGGAAGAAATGATGAAATAAAAGCTGAACAGAAGATTTCAAAGAGTGTCTCAAGAAGGCAAAGTCAAGTAGCATAATGAAATAAGGAGCTCTGGTAGCGTAGTGCCTGAGGCACTTGACCGCTAACCAGAAAGCTGACAGTTCAAACCCACCAGCCACTCCTCGGAAGGAAGGTTGGGCAATCTACTTCCATAGTGATACCGCCTTGGAAACCCAAGGAGGGGTCGCTATGAGTCAGGTCAGACTCAATGGCACATAACAACAACATAATGAAATGTGCAAATAACTGGATTTAGAAAACCAAATGGGAGGAACATGCTTGGCATTTCTCAAACTGATAGAACTGAAGAAAAAATTCAAGCCTTGAGTTGCAATATTGAAGGATTCTATGGGCAAAATATTGAATGATGCAAGAAACGTCAAAAAAAAAAAAAAAAGGAAAGAATATAGAGTCACTGGCTCTGGTGCTGTAGTGCCTAAGGTATTTGACTGGTAACCAGAAGGCTGGTGGTTCAAATCTACCAGCCACTCCTCGGAAGGAAGCGTGGCAATCTACTTCCGTAGTGATGCCGCTTCGAAAACCCAAGGAGGGGTTCTTATGAGTCAGATCCGACTTGATGGCAGTGAGTTTGGTTTTTGGTTTGGTAACAAAAAATAATTAGTTGACATTCAGCCATTTCAGGAAATAGAATAGGATCAAGAACCAATGGTATTGAAGGACGAAGTCCAAGCTACACTGAAGAAATTGGCCAAAAACAAGGCTCCAGGAATTCATGAAATAGCACTTGAGATGTTTCAACAAACAGATGCAACACTAAAAGTGCTCACTTGTCTATGCCAAGAAATGTGGATGATAGATACGTGGCCAACTGACTAGAGGAGATCCATATTTGTGCCCATCCCAAAGAAAGGTGATCAAACAACATTAGTATTACAAGCAAGTAAAATTTTGTTTAAAATATTTCAAAAATGGTTACAGCAGTACATAGACAGGAAATTACCAGAAATTCAAGCCACATTCAAAGGAGGATGTGGAATGAAGGATGTCATCACTGATGTTAAATGGATCTGGGCTGAAAGCAAAGAATACCAGAAAGATGTTTAACTGTGTTTTATTGGCTATGCAAAGGCATTCAGTTGTGTGGATCATAACAAATTGTGGATAACACTGAGAAGAATGGGAATTCCAGAACACCTAATTGTACTCATGAGGAACCTGTACATAGATCAGGAGGCTGTCTTTTGAACAGAGCAAGGGATACTGCATGGTTTAAAATCAGGAAGGGAGTGCATCAGGGTTGTATCCTTTCACCATACTTATTC